GAACAGGTGGCATTGCCAAGAGCAAACACTTCCTGTGTGTCTTATGCTGCATGGGCCTGTTCTTCGCCTTTTCACTTTTTCCATCTGAAACACTTTCAGGTGTTTTCCAAAATGAGTGCCAAGCTGTACTTAGCTGCAAGATGCCTTACAAGAAACAGATCTAAAAACCTGCCCCCTCTCTCCCTTTTTGTAGGCTGCAGTGTGTAATGCTCTGAGAAGTCCTGCAGTGAAGAAGTCAGTTTGACCCAGTACTATTTTGTGAGACACAATTTGGAAAATGCTGGACAGGAACAACAACACCCAGAAGCTTAAAGAAGCTGCAAAACTGAACTTGGTTTAGGGCTCAACAACAAACCTCTTCCCCAAACTTCTCACATCTAACATCCAGGCACTTCCGACCACCCCCAACTCAGCTGTGCTTCTTTGTCAAAAAAGTGAGCTGAACGAGGTACTGTTAAAGCCCTGGCAAAGCGTGGGTGCTGAGATAGTCTCATACACTGACGTGGTCCTGGCCGGCAAGCTCCACCCAGCCATTTCCAATCCCTTCTCTCTTTCCTGCACTTCCTCTTCTCTCCCCGCTCTTGGACAGGGGCCCAACTTCCAATATTCTCCTGAGCTCCACTCCCTGACTCTCCCCCAAAGCGGCGCTGCTAATCAGCCCCCTTTGAGGAAAGCAGCGAAGCTCCTTGGCCTCCCTGATCTGTGGGAGTGTGATACCCACTCTTACTACACACAGGTGCGTGAGGACCCTTGCCGAGGTGGGGGGGGTGCTCCTCTGCCCCAGAAACTGGGCCTGGATGTGCTGTCTCAGGTGAGCAACAGTCACTGGAGAGCTCTGTGCTTCCTAAAGGCGTGAAATGGTAAGATTTTGCAGACTACTACATTCCTGTATCACTTAAAACTCTTAATTTAAGACAAAAATTAATTTGACCAATCTCCAATGATAAAGATAGGAACATCATTTGGAGCAAAATTTCAAGTAAGATCTAAAACCTAAGTACAGTCAGATATCATGACACCAATCTTAAAAGTCATACCAAACCTACAGGAGGCCCTTCCTGGGGCGTCAGGTCACCTGGCTGGCTCTCTCACGGCGCCCGTCCCCGGTTCTGCTGGTTGTCACCCAAACTACATTTCCAAAGCTGCAGCCCTGGCTGTCTTAGGAACAGCAGATTCGCGGGTATTTCCTGCTCCCCCTGACAAGTGGTTCATGCGGCCCTTTCCCAGATCCCACCAGCTCTGCTTCCTTTTCCTTCTTCCCTCAGATATGGAAACGTAGCAGGCCCTGCACGGCCATGGCCGACCACCTGGGGTCTGCCTTGTACCTGGGCAGGAGACTTCTCCCCTCCCTGGCAGCTTCTCCCCAGGTCTCTGCCGGTTTGAATGAGGATTTGTCTCAAGGCCTAATTTGCTCAGAATAGCTAATGCGGAGATGGCAAACAGATTGCCCGTTGTTCATTTAACTCTGACTGACTGGAAGTGGCTGCCTGGAGCGTTGATCAATTAGCGAAGACCGTGGGCACGTGTGTGCGAATGAATGTGAGTGTGTATGTGAGTGTGCACACACGTGTGGGTGTGCGTGTGGGGGGGGGGCGAGGGATTCATGTCGGATACTTGCCACCCTCGTTTAAGGTGCTCACTCACGCTTTCTGTAACTGGAACGCGGGTTAATAACCGGGTTCTTTGCCTGGAAATCTCCCCCCGCAGGAGCTGAGAGTCAGGAAGCCTCAGCTAAAGCATCGGTCACTAAAAGATGCCCTGAACGAGCTCCAGGGTAGGTGTTAGGCAGAGCCGCGCTGTGGTTTCTGCCCGGGGAGCGGCAGTCCGCACATAGGAAGCCGGGCACGCTGACACCCGGGGGGGAGGCCGTACGTCGGAGCGCGGCAGGGGCAGTCCAGCTCTGTAGAGCCCTCGCCAGGCTCTGCCCGCCGCGGCGTGAAAGGCCCGCCCAGCAGCTCTGGTCACCAGATGACCACCTGACAACAGAGTGGGCTGAGACCACTGGGACACCAGCCTGAGGAGGGGGTGGGTGATGAAGGGCGGCTCTTTCGTGGCCCTAACCCGCCCTGGCGTTCACTGGGCTCTTGAAAACCCAGGGCCCTTCACGATTCCTTCTGCAGAGCTCTGGAAACGCGGCAGTGTGACCCTAGTGCATGCATGGTCAAAGAAGGCACAGTGTCTGCGTGTGGACAAGGGTGCAGGACCCGGAAGGACGGAAGCCTTAAAAGAAAACTCAGGAGTCACTTTTGGGGCCTGAAATCACAGGGGTTCCGGGGGTCACTCTCCTGTCATTTCACCCACCCACCCATTATAGATTGATCTTCTGAGGCACCCCTCCACATGAAGATCTGATTCCAAGGATCTGTCACCCCCTGCATCAAGTTTGTCATACCTGGTGCTCCCTCTGCTGGAGGCTCTTCCCCAGATGTCCACAAGGCTTGCTTCCTCACCTCCTCCCTTACTCAAATGTCACCTTCTCAGTCACTTTCTCAGTGACTCTGTTTTCCTTTGTCCCCACGTGGTAGGCTGTGTAATAGCCCTTAAAGATATCCAGGCCTTCGTTCTAGGGACCTGTGAATGTTACCTTATATACTAAAGGGGACTTTGCAGATGTGATTAAGTTAAGGATCTGGAGATAGGAAGATCATCCTGGATTATCTGGTGGGCTCAGTGTAATCACAAGGATTCTCATAAAACAGAGTCAGGAGATTTAACTACTTATGCGGGGGACCAGCAATGTGACAATGGTCACAGACAATGGAGTGATGCAGCTACGAGTCAAGAAGTGCTAGCAGCTTCTAGAAGCTGGAGGAGTCAAGGAACAGATTCTCCCCTGGAGCCTCCAAAAGGCACCTGCCCTGCCGACACTTCGACTTAGCCCAGTGAGACTCACTTGGGACGTGTGGTTTCCAGAACCCTTGAAGAGAATTACATTTGTGTTCAGCCACCAAGCTTGTGATAATTTGTTACCACAGTCGTAGGAAACTAACACACACCCCTGTGCACCCACCCTACCCTCATCCCCCTCCCGGCTCTGGCCTCCTTCAGCCTTATTTGACACCCTGTATTTTACATCTGAGGGCTGTCTGTCTCCCTTACCAGGGGGTCGGCCCTGCAGGGTCAGGAGCCCTTGTCTGTTTTGTTGTGGACTCCATTCCTGCCCAGAGAGGGGCAGCCTTTCTCTCACTGGGGCCCAGGCTCTCGTAGGACCCCACTGGGCCCATCTCATCCCAACCTACAAGGCTCTGTTCTGCACATAGGCTACCAAGGCCACCCTCCTTTCTCTCCTCTGGAAGCCTTGAGTGCTGGTAGGTGGAATGTGAGTGGCCCATGAGAGCGAGGGTGTGGCGTGCCAGGTGAGGCCCTTGTGACTGGCGGGCCCCATCCCACCCCCATCTGCCTGGGACACGGCTGGGGCAGTGCACTGTGGAGGTCTGGCAGGTGCGCCTGGCTCGGGGACCACAGCATCCCCTGTCTCAGCTTTCTTGTGCACAAATAGGGATAACACCATGACCCCAGCAGGGCGTGTGGCCAGAACTAAGCAAGATTAGTGACATAGTGGCTAATCCACTTTCATTTTTCTGAGGTATTGCTTATTTTTGTTTTGTGGTGAGCTGTGTGCTGCTTGTCCATTTCCGGGAAGCAGGGGGGCATAGGTTTGTCTTTGCGGTGTGCTCAGGGCAGGGGGCAGGCTGCAGTGGGCCAGCTGAGTGGGGCCTATTCTGAAGCCATATGCCCAGGAATTCTGCCCAAAGGTACACCGGCCCTGTTTGCAAGGAAGGCTGGCCTCGTGCGGCTAACACATCTTGACAGGCCTTTCCTCACCGCCTGCCAGTGCCTTTCTGTGGGGATGCTGGGTTAGTCTGTGTTTTTGAGAGCAATTCCCTGAGAGGCTCTGAGTCCTCCCGGGACTCCTACTTTGCCACTGCCCCCTGGACATAATCAGATCATCTCCTCACAAGTCAGGACATCAGCACTGAGAACAATAGTGGTTGCCATCTTAGGGCTGAGTCTATGAGAGCTCTCAGGTACCAGGCCCTGAGTCTTTAACACAGAGCAGGAAACCAAGGTGGGAGGTTAGTGTGTGTGTAGGGGTGGAGTGGGGATTAGTGGGGGGGGGGTCTCTATTTAACCTGGTCTCCCCTCCAGCTGTAGCTGTAGAGTCCTCCTGTCTCTACCCCTGCGGCCTCACCCCCCCACCCCCCCCAACACAAACACCCTGTGTTCTCAGATCTGGTCAACTGCAGAGTCAGCATGGTGATGCCCTTGCCTGCCCTCCCAGAACGCCCCAGAACCCATCAAGGTGAGGATTCTCAAGAAAGGGTCCTCGTACTTCCCCTTGCTGAGTTAAATTCATCCCTGGGTGGAAGGCCCTGAAAGGCTCAGTCTTGGAAGGAGAGGCCAGGGAACCACTGTGACCCCTGAGGAGGGAAGGCTTGGACTTAGGGGGTGGGGGGTGAGGCCGCTTTCCAGAGGTGCTGTGGAAGCATTGCTGTGTGAGGGTTAACAGCAGAGGACTTGGGAAGGCTGTGGGGGTGGGGGGCTCAGGTCGCCCCTGCTCTGACGCTTACTGGCCCTGTGCTCTTGGACATATGACAATCTTTCCAAGCCTCAGTTTACTCATCTGTAAATTGAGGGCAGTTGAGAGTATGTATCAAATAGGAGTGCTGTGAAGGTTCATTTACAGGAGAATAATTATGTAAATGGACCAGCAGGGTGCCTGGCACATGGTTAGCACTCATGAATGTTAGCTCTGGTGATGACGGCGAGGGCGATGAGGACAGCCGTGGGACTTGATAGCTCTCTCCCATGTCACCAAGCAGCCTTTCATGGTTTCCCGTAGGATGTGGGGAGAAGGAGAGGGAGAGGGTGCTCCAACATCCATGGGGCAGAAAAGACAGTTTGTGCTCTGCCCTTGGTGTGTCTCTGGCCTGGACAGCAGATCCAGACAGACACACAGGAGCTGGAGGAGAGGCCAAGGGGAGTGGTGAATCCCTTACCTTGGTTGTCGTAGGAAGTGATGACCTGGGTCTGCTGAGGATGCTCTTTCTCCGCCAGGCTTCCTGTTGAAGCAAGACAGACCTGCGGTGACCACTGGGACCGTGGTGGCATTTGCCCCAGGCAGAGCAGGGAGCTGTGTGTGTCTGCAAGAAAGGCAGGCTGGTGGGGGGTGAGCTCATCCCAGGCCTGGCCTAAACGTGTGCACACCCATGTGCACATCTGCACGGTGCACACGCACGTGAATCAGCACCTTTACACACCTGGATGCAGAAGCAAGTGACTATGAAGCCGTGTGCACACACCCTCACACCTCTCAGCAGGTGCCAGCAGAGGCTGGGTTTCTTCTTGAGAAGGTGGGGACACCTCATGGGTCCCAACTTCAGTGTGGCCAGGCTCAGCTGCCACAGAGCAAATGGCTGCCTTGCTGATCATCACACTTTCTGTGGAATGGGCTGGGAGGCTCCTATGCCCATTTTATAGCCAATAGGCCTGCAGCCTGGACACTTAATTTTGGCTAAAGACCTCGTCCCCAGGGACTTGAACCCCAAGTCTCCTGATTCCTAGGTCAACATCTTGCCTCCCTCTGAGCAAAATGGGGGCAGCCTGCCTTCTACTCCAGCTTAGGAGTTGGGGTGACTTGCCGTACTGTTCAGGTCCACAGATATTTTCAGGGCCCCCACTATGTGAAAACTCTCTCCACACACTAGGGATCTTTATGTCCTTGGAACACAGAGCTGTCCTCAGAGCCTAGTGGGGTCAGGCTGCGGTGAGAAAGGCCCAGTTCCTGCCACAGGCCATGAAGGGGAACCCACAGGCTTACCTGCCCCTCCAATGGGAAGCAACACCTTTTCCTATATCTCTCCCTCACCCGCTGCTGCGGCGGCCTGGTCTTGCTGAAGCTGCTTCAGGGGGGTAGGGCAGGGGAAGGGGCAGGGGAAGGGGCAGGGTTGTGGCAGCAGGGCGTTCCCCCACGGTTACCACCCTGGCCTGCCACCTTCTCCCCGGCCTTCCACTGGTCTGCAGAAAGGCTGTCGGGCCTGCCACTGGAAGTGGCCACTGGGACCAGTGCCTGGGCCTGGAAATAAGCATGCCTTTGGGGCGCTGACCTCCACAGGTTCCACTCAGATATCTTCCCTTGTGCACCCAACCAGATCTGCCACCCAGGGCTTCCCATGCCTGAGCCCAGGCAGAAGCCAGTCAAGGTGGATAGGCAGGTCACTGAGCTGGGCTGGACTTGTGATCCACCTGGCAGGGTCCTGCCCTGGAGAACCTGCCTGCTCCAGCCTTCTCCTATGAGCAGGCCCAGCCAGGACCCTCACCCCGTGGCCTGAGGTCGGTGGGTTGGCCAAGGGCTAGAAGCACTGTGTGTGCCAATCCAGGGTGATGCTGGTCTGCAGCTCTAGGCCAGACTCAAGCGAGGACAGGGCGGCTGGCTCCTTCAGGCACAGCTGGCTACATCTCTGCTGGGCTGGCGGATGAAGGAAACAGGATCCGGGGAGGGAATCCTCAAGGAGGACGATTGGCTGGCATAGCTGCTGCGGCTATTTATAGTCAGGGCCGCACAACTGGTTTCCCTGTGGCTATGGGGTGTCAGTCCCGGTGCTGCTAGGCAGACTTCGGCCAGGACCAAGGAAAGCAGCCAATCACAGCAGGGGAAGCCCGTTGCCGGGCAAGCTAGTGGCGTTGGCTCGGCCCAAGCACCTGCTGCTCGGAAAAGTTTGGAGCAGTCCAGGCTCCCCCCACCCTGCCAACGCCCCAGCCCAAGGAGCACACAGGGCAGCAAGAAGGGGAACATGTGCCTTTTTGGATCTGCCCCAAGTTCAGTCACATTTGTGCACACGCCACCAGCACAAGCCATCAGCTGCCTCCTCCGCAGATGAGAGGCATCCAGTTTCCAGGGCTGGGTGCCTTGGACACCAGCGAGGGAAGTATGTACCCAGAGTCTCACCATCAGAAGCTGTAATTTTAGTTTCTGCCGGCACGCAAACGTGCAATTTGAAAAAATAAATAAAATTTTATTATAAATTACCTATATTGGCGGAGCGGTGCAACCCTCTCTCCAGGCCTCCACTTACCTGAAACTCTCAGTTCTCTCAGGTGGTTTTTCAAGAACTATTTTCACCCTCCTCCTTAGTTTTTTATTATTTTTTAAAAGATTTTTATTTTTTTTAAAGTAATCTCTACACACAACGTGGGGCTCAAACCCACAACCATGAGATCAAGAGCCGCACGCTCCATGACTGAGCCAGCCAGGCGCCCCATGATCCTCTTTATTTTGTTGTATTTGTCCACTAACCTTCCCTCAAATCAGAGGCCCTAAAGATGGTGAAAGTAGGATAGGATAAATTCACTATATTTCAATCTTCTCCTAATGTAATAACATGGCTGAGAAGCCATAAGATACATTTCAGACAACTCAAGATAAGCGAGCTGTAACAAATGAAGATGCTGAGTCTCTTCTCTCCCACCTCAACCCACTTTTCCACTCACCCGCACATACACTGGCCAAGCGTGCATATCTGCATCAGCTGCTGTGTATTTTTGCAGCTGACGGGTTTCTGGTGGTCTGACTCTTACAATTCTCATGAGCCTGTAGCCTAGTTTCGCTAACTTTGGCATGTGCTTCGGTCCGGCCAGAGCCGGCACATCTACCATCTTATGACCCTAAAGCAAGGTTAAGGAAGCCATCTCACCATGCGTGCCCATTAGCCAGGACCCCAGGGGATGGTTTCCGGGGCAGGAGCCTGTGTTGGGTCTGATCTGTCCTTATGCATAGGGCAGGGGACACAGGAAAGCTCTTTATGTCCAGGGTGTTGAGATTCTATTGCAGTGAAAAGCATTATGATTATAATCATTAACATGGTCCCATGAGGGCAGGGGTTCTTGACTGTCTTTATCCCAACACCTAGAACCCCACCCGGCACAAAGGAAACACTGTAGACCTTTATTGAGGGAATGAATGAATGAATTTTCTTTCAGAACTTCATCCTTCCCTTTTGTTACTGTCAGGATGGCAGAGCATAAATGTTTGGTCTCATTCAATTGGGGTCCTGATTACCCATCTGCAGAGGGTCATGCAGGTGGTTTCTTCACACTAGCATTTGATGAGCCCAGATCTGAATGAGTCCCCTACTGGGGTTCTGGGAGTGGAGGTCTGATTCTTACTAGAATTCTAACGTGCCCACAGTGAAGCTTCACTGATGTTTTTTCTTGGAAGCTTGGCTAATGAGTCTCTGAAGTGTATAGAATAAGGCCTAGTAGAGTCCGTCCATGCATGGCATTCCCTGAGCTGTCCTGGGCCTGCAGGGTGACAGACACCCGGCACCAGAGAAAGGAAGCTTTGGAAACAGACTTCTCTCAGATCTTACTATATTCTGGGTCCCCAGCCAGCTGGGAACCACAGCACCCATCTCGCTAGGCTTGGAGTAATAATGTCCCCAAAGAGGCCACAGTCCTCTCTGTTTGGAAAAATTTTCAAAGAATGGATGCCCTGCCTGACATGAGCAGCCCCACCTCCAGGGGGAACATACTCAAACCTCGCCATGCCGAGTGATGATGCCAAGTCCTTCCTTATATGTAGCCAGTGAACAAGTGGGTGCTCAAACTTAGGGCACTCCTCCCCTCCCATCCCACAGCCTCCAGGAAATTGGGGGATGCGATGCCAGGGAAAACTTGCTGGGGTCACAGTGGCCCTAGAGGCATGGCTGAATCACGAGCAGCCACTTTCTGAGCGGTTAGATGTCTACAGCCAGTTTTCAAACACGTGAAATCGAATGCTTCCCGTCATTTTTCAATGTGTTGAATTACAGAGACTGAAAAGAAAAGAAAATGAAAAGAGAGAATTTACCATGCACGTCACTTCCTTCGAATTTCTGCCATCTCCGGATTCCGTTTCCGACGCCCTGGAGTCCTATGAAATAACAGGGTCTCGCATGAGGGTCTCCATGATGGGAAGACCCAGGCCAGCAAGTGATGGGCCAGCTGCTAACGTATCTGGGTTGAGGTGGGGCTGGTGGAAGCTGGCTCTGTCAGGATCCAAGAGAGGCTGCCCGCAAATGAGACGCACTTTAAAACATTAAAGGAAAATATTAAAACAGTAGTTTTCAAAGGTGGTGAGGTGGGTTATCGGGATCATCCAGGGAGAATTTTCACAATACAGATGCCCGTTTTTCACTCCACATCTCGGCCGCATAAACATGGAACCATAACTGTGGAAGATGCTCGCCATTCATTTTGCCTGCCTATTTCCGTATGTGGGGAATCTCCCACTTTTAGAGTCATGACGTAAGGTGGAGGGTGGGCAAAGATGGTCTATCCATATGGGAAACGCAAGTGATAGTTGGCAAATTGTGAAAATTCTCCCTGGATGATAGTCTCCCAGCCTCCCTTGCAGGTAGAGCATGGACATATGTGGCCTCGGCACAACCAGTCTGATGCATCTGTGTCTGCTTCCGTCTCGGGACCTGGTGATGCAAGAGAGAAGGGCTCTCTAGTTCTCTCTCTCTGGTCATGGCTGGAAGTGGTGGCTGCAAGGTCGAGTTCCTGGCCCAGAACTGGTGTACGTACGTTCTGGCAGTGTGAGTAGCTGCAGTAAGATCAAGCTCCTGACGAGGAAGGAGTACCTAGGGCCCCTTCGTGGCAACAGAGGTGTCCTCGCCAGACCAGCTCTGCTGGGCAGCTGCTGACGCTGTTCCTGGAAGCTCGGCCTCTAGCCTGGGTTTCCAGCTCTTGCAGCTGCAAGTCCCCCAGTCCCTTCCCTATGCTCTTCTTTCTGCAGCGCTCTCTGCAGCCAGGATCTGGGCTTACCACCTGGAACCCTTGCGGACCCACATGTGGACCAAAATGCACATGACACTGACTTGGGGGATGAAACCTGACTTTGGAGCTCTTTTAGACTGGGTGCAGGCAGCTTTAGGCCACCTCCTCCATGGCACAGGATAGGAGGTGAGGGTGTCCAGGCATGCTTTTGAGAAGCACTGCCCAAAGGAGACTGGAAGGGCTGTAGAGGAAAGAGCAGAGAGCTTCTGTTGGCAGCCCAGATCCCTGGCACACACTATCTTTGCCTCCTTGTCCCTCTGACTCTTTTCTGCCACAAGGACACAGCAGAAAGCCACCCGATCTTCACTTGGTCCTCTGCATTGTGACAGTAATGGAGGTCAGGCCCTCCTTTGCAGAGCCAAGGACCTGGGCTAGAGGGGAGACAGGAGGAGAGGCCTGGAAGAGGTGTGGGGCATTTTGGATCTTGTGCCCCAACAGGAGGCCTTGGAACAAGCTAGTTTAATTCGGTGTTTCCCTGCCTTAGGCTGTGTGGGCTTAGCCAGGGGTCCCTTGGACATCAACACTGCCCAGCAGGCTTGGATGCTGGTCGCTCTCCCTCTGCTTTGGTATAGAACTGTCTGTAAGTAAGTGACACTGGTCTCTCCACTGGCCTGGTGTCTGGGGAAACCTCCTTCAGGAAAGATTTGGAGACAAATAGCAGAAAGGGGCTTGGCAAGCAGGGTCTTCTTTCCTTGTGTCATGGTCATGAGTGTGAAATGCATCGGTCTGGAGTTGTGTAGGGTGTGTGCTAGGGGTGGGACACCTCTGGGAACAGTCCTGATCCCTGGAATTTCTGGGGCTTCTCTCTGTTCTTCTTCCTCTTTCTAGTGTTGGAGCCTTTAGGAGAGATACAATCAGAGTGGGGAAGGGAGGTGGGGATTCATAGGCTGACCCGGAGCTGGGCCTCGTGGGGGCCCTCTGGCCTTGCCACATGCTGGGGGAGGCCTTCTGGACTGCAGTGTCTGGAGGAGAGGCAGCTTCTTTTCAATCAAGGAGCAGGTGGCCTCTGCCAATTTCCTCAGTACGAATACCCGGGTGGGCCATTTCCACCTCTCCTGGGAGAAGCTCTGAGAACGAAAGAACCAACTAACCCAAACAATTCCTGGCCCCAAATCCCTCTGGAGACGGGGAGTACCTGACAACATGCGCAGTTCTCCAGAATCTATTTCTTTCCCCTGCCTGCCTCCCCAAGAGGTCACCAGGAACCATGGGACAGTTCCAGCCTGTGTGACTGGTGGGGGCAAAGCCAGTCTTGGCACCACTGCTTCCACGTGGCAGGTGGAAGGTGGGGGTTCAATGCATAGGACCTCCGTGGACAGAAGAGCCAGAGGCAGACTCTGAGGAGCTCTGGAGCTGGAGGGCAGGCAGGAGGCAGAAGTCATTTTACCGCATGGGCTGTTAAGCGTCACTCCCAAAGCACTGGCCCACGAACAGCCTAGCACAAACCTCACGGCAGCCCCCAAGAAGGCTCGGGAGGGCTTCCTCACAGACCTACGACCTGTTCCCCAACTTCTGAGGGGCTTATCTAACATCTGTTATTCTCCATCTGTATTCTCTTCAGTGTGTCCTCTCTGGAGATTACAGAGGCCTGAGTGATGCTTTCCATAATTGCTCCATAAACAGTCACTTCATTTTTCCAGTCTACCCTTCCTCAGAAAGTCTGTAGGAAGAGTAAAATTAAAAGATCCGTGAGAGTGCAGAGAGCAGATTTTAAGCTGACCCTACCCAAGGCTGTGTGCCTTTTACACCACCCTTTATGCCTTCTACTGTAGGAGGCTGGGAGAGGCTTCAGATAGGGGAAACTGAGGCCAGGACTTGTGCAAGGACACCAAGGGAGTTCCCCGTCTCAAAGTCTGATTCAGCACGCACATTCCCCTGGGTCCCCTGCGCTCTGCAATGTGCCATGTGAGGAGCAGGCCTCGGCCACACAGGGGTCAGGCCTGAGGCTCTGGCCCCCTTCGTCCAAGGCATCTTCCAACCCTGTTGTGCACCCTTCAAAGAGTGGATGGGAGGAAGCCGGCTCCCCGGGGGGTGACGGAAGCACCGACTAGCCTGCGCGGGGAGTCAACTCGGGGGAATCACCGGGCTGCGCGTTGCCACGGGACGCCAGTGCCACCGCGCAGAGGCGCAGGCAGCGGTGGGGAGAGGGTCGGTCTCGCTGGCCTCGTTCGGGGGCGCCCCGGGCGGCGGGCAGGCCCCGGGGTGGGGGCGAGGAGGCCGAGGTGCGGGGGTCGGGGTCCCGGCCCGGCGCGCGTTACCTCCTCTGCGCTGCGGCAGCGCGCCGGGGTCCGCCTGCCGGTCCGAGCGCGTGCCCTGCGCGGCGCGCCGCTTCTCCGAGTGCACGATCAGCAGCATGTCGATGGACACGGCGTTGCTGTCCTTCTTCAGCTCCATGGTGCCGCCTCGCTCCCCGCCGTGGCGCCGCGGCCGCTCTCGAGGCTGCCTGCGCTGCAAATGGCCCCGTGCGCGCCGCTGGCGGGCGCGGGAGACGGCGAGGGCGCGGGAGAGGGCGCTCCCCCGCCGCCGAGCCGCTGGGCGCCGCGTTTCGCTGACTCTGCCAAACACGCCATTAGGGCCCGCCCGGGAGGGCGCTACCCTAACGAAGCCGCTCTAAGTCACCTTTGAAAGGAAATCACCAGCCGAGCCCTGATCTGCACCCAGGCCGCGGGCTGCCCAGCCGCCGGCTCCAGAGAGCCTCCTGCCCCGTGCGCTTGGAGCGCTCCTCCCGGGCTCCAGCGCTGTTCTCCGGCTGGCCGGTCGCCGCCTCGTCTCCCGCCCTCTCCGGGGTTCCCGCGAGGGCCCGCAGCAGACCTCCTCGGGAAGCTGCAGCAAAGAAACCACACAGCGCTGTCCACAGTGAGAGTCAGTTCTGGAAAAGGAAGAAGGAGCACAGGGTGGCCCCACTCCTTCCCCGGGTGGGTTTTGGAAGTTGATAGCCTCCTCTAGAAGAGGGAGATGGGCAGGGTGTTGGGGTCAGGATCTCTGCGATTACGGCTGCACCAGGCCTTGGAACATGACCTTTGGGCATCCACTTAACAATTCTTTCTGGCTTGTGGTGGAAGTCTTAACATCTCTCTGTTCCTTCTAGAAGCCTGGCTCATGCTTGGTGGGGAAGGGGGGAGGGGCAGAGGAGGAGGTCTGTGCCAGAGCAGCCTGCCCGCTGTGCTCAGGGAGCTGGACCTGAGAGCCCATCTATTTTTAGTGGGGCCTAACCAGGCCAGCCAGCAGAGGCAGGGCCTTTGGCTCCGGGTCTCAGGAGTGTTTACAGCCGCATCTGCCTGGTAGCCCTTGGCACGGTGGGCCCACCCAACCTGGGCCAGGCCCCTAACTTAAGTTTCCACCATTAATAAATGCTGTGCACATGGAAGTCTTTGCTCTGGGACCCTTCCCATAGGAGTGTAATGACGCTAGGTTGCAGGGTGGTCCCTGAGCGCTCCTACCTCTCCCTTGGAGGCAGACTATAATGTGCTAGGTTCCAGTCCTAGCTCTGCCACTAGCTGTCCTTGTGACCGTGGACAAGCCATTTCCCCCCATTTCCCCAGCCCTCTTGTGGGCATAAACCAGGTTCTCACAGAGCTGTTGTGAGAATGACGTGCACTTGAGCTGCTTGGTGCAGAGTAAGCGGTCTCCAAATGGTAGCTGTCATTCATACCTCATTTTAAGGGTGAGGAAAAGGATAGGGGAAGTGACAAGTCAGTGATGGAGGCAGGGGCCACACAGATAATACCCTCAGACTCTGAAGGTCTTTCTCCACTGACTGTGACTCAGGGTTTGTCTGCCAGTGAAGGCCACCACCTTGTTGCGTCACCACCAACCCCTTGCTCACTGGGCATCTGATGAAAGGAGATGTCACTGGTTTCTGATAGTGTTGGAGTCCCTAGAGAGCTGAGCTGGGACTGATGTAGGTGGGTGACTCCCAAGGCAGGTTTCCTCATGTAGCGAGTCCTGTCCTTTACTGTCATGTTTACGTGCGCGCGCGCACACACACACACACACACACACACACATACGGCTGGGAGGCTGGCTGAGCCCTGCTGCTCTCTAGATGGCTAGGAAAGTAAGGACTATGGGTTATGCAAAGTCCCTGGGGTCTTGGAGATTGCCCAGGCAGCATCCCCTCATCTGACCTGGGACAGGGTGTCCTAGCTCTTTGAAGGGTGTAGGTCCCAAGAGAAGCTTCTGTATAGCACCTCTCATTACTGAATGGGGCTGAGTGGGAAGGGCAGGGAAGCTGAAGCCCCTTTGCCTGAATTTGCATTCCCATCCTTCTCCCTTGTTCCCTGCTGGAGAGTGTCACTGTTAGGAGATTGCTCACGTGGCATCCCTTTCCAGAGCTACCCCTGAAGGAGGTGATGATGACCTGGGGATGTAACAACCAGAGGTCCAGGAAGCTGGTCGAGGGGCCTCCTGCCTCTCCAGGATGCCTGGAAACAGACCCTTTGGAGAGGGGCTTCTTGCCTGTGGCGCTACAGACATTTGGGGCCAGAGAATTCCTTGTTGTGGGGGGTGTCCTGTGCATTGTAGGATATTTAGCAGCATCCCTGGGACCTACCTACTGGATGCCAGTAGCATCCCACTTCCCAGTTGTGACAAGCTGGAATGTGTCCAGGTGTTGACATATGTTTCCTGCTTTGGAACAAACCCATGAAATAGGGGCTGTGTCACTTTGGCTGTTCTGGAAAATGCTGCTGCTCCTGGGTCCTGATGTTGTCCAGAACCTGGACCCACTCCTCAGAGCTTCCCACCCATGGCTCTCAGTCCAGTATCTGGCTTCCTGGGTCTGTACAGCTGCTCCGTGCCGGCAGCGTGGGCAGAAAGGTGAGATGCTCTCCTCATTCTTCATGCACCCACTCTGGCCTCTGTTGACCCCTCCTGTCATCCACACTACCTGTTTTGGCTGAGAGGGAGACACCACACCACAGGAAAGCATTGGGATGTATCTGGAAAGGGGAGGGGGAGCAGGAGAGACTGAGGCTATGAGGTATCATTCAGAGCGTGTATGTCCTTGGAGGGCCTCCCCAACCAATGGAACTGAGAACACACCCTCAGCCTGTGATTTACACCCTGGGTCCATCCTCCTTCTGTAGACTCACCTCTTCCTCTTGCCCTGCCAACTCACACATGCTGCAGCCACAGCCATGTCCGTTACTCCCCAAACACATCTAGCTGGTCTTTCGCCTTCTAGGCTTTCCTCAACATACTAGCCCCACCACCCTGCCACCGTCTTGAACAACATGGAGCTCAAGGGCTTCCACAATCTGACCTAACAAATTCATCCACATCCTTTTGTCTTAGGATCTGACAAACCAGGGGCTATCTCTATTCTTGGGCAGACCTTTAATTATTTTAATCACAATGAGTTGGAAATTTCAGGACACCAAAAGACAAAGAACAGTCAAAATGGTTGTATTGTTGCCTTTATCCTCCATTACATTAATACTCAGGCAAGTTCTGCTGTCATCTACACTGCTTCTAGCCTTTTACTTGAAGATGGGATGCATCTGTTGTCCCTATGGTTCTGAGCCCTGAGCTGTCTTGGAGATGGAGAGTGGTTGACAAGGGGAGGCTTGCTTCTGGCAGATGAGGTTTTCACCAGAAGGGGTGTGTCCTGACTCACATTTTTGTTTTTCCTAAGAAATAGTGGTTCTTCGGGGACCACCAGTCCTAACTCTTTCAGCCCTCTAGAGATCCCAGGAGGCAGGTTTCTGTCTTCTCTAGAGAGATGTGATAGACAAAGCCAATACATGAAAGGCTTTCAGGCAATTTGTAGACATGTATGGTGTTCTACATTGGTGCAGTGAGGGAATGGTACACAGAAAGTGGGGCACCTCGGTAAAGAGCACAGACCACGGCCCAGACTCTTCACACCCTCGCTTCTGCTGATATAGACAAACTTACATGGGGAACCAGAGACCTTTCCCAGAAACCTTTTTGGAAGCTGGTACTCGCTTCCTGTGGTGCCTTGACCGGCCTGGCTTGGCTTGCTCCCACTTCTGAATTTGTTATTGCTGTCACTTTTTCCGGAAATGCGCGTTTAGACATTTCTGGCAAGTACAATCTGGTCATCCTTTGACGTCTGATTCTGGCCCTCACCTCCACCCTGAAGCCTTCCTAGTCACCCTGGTTCTTGGAGCTCCTGGAGGATGCCAGCTCTCTGTGGTGCCTCTCTTTTTAACCATCCTCAGTTCTCCTTTTTTCCACTGGAATGGCATGGACATTTAAATGTTAGTTTGAAGGGTGCCTGGGTGACTCAGTTGGTTAAGCGTCTGCCTTCGGCTCAGGTCATGATCCCAGGGTCCTGGGATAGAGCCCCACATCGGGCTCCCTGCTCAGCGGAGAGTCTTCTCCCTCTCCCTCTGTTTGCCACTCTGCCTACTTGTGCTCTCTCTGTTAACTAAATAAATAAAATCTTAAAAAAAAAGTAAATGTTAGTTTGAAAAAAAAAATATTCTTGTAAACTACCTCAGGTCTCTTCTATTTCATAGCAAAGTGTATGGTGAAGTCCTTGCCTGGCCTCAGACCACATTAAGCTCTTAGAGGGCCAGGACATGGTCTTCCTCATTCCTGAGTCCCCTCCCATCCTCCTCCCCCCACACATGCTGGGCCTTCTATGTGTATTGCACACAGGAGGTGCTCAATAAATGTTAGAGTCAAATTGGGCAGAATGAACGCTCCCAGCCAGCCAAGACTTCTCCCTGTAGCCCGGAGGCGTAGCAGCCTTCCTGAGATTTATAGTATTTGCTCCTTTCTCTCAGACCGTCAGGGAATGGAAGAAGAGGTTAACTGAGGACAAGCAGCTCTAAACGCACCTTCTCCCACTGCTGACAGAACCATCTGGAGCATGAATTTGGGCGAGTGCTTCGTTCCAACAGCACTGCTCAGTCCCATGCAGCCGCCTCCACCCTTCCCCAAGCAGGAGCCATAAGCTGTGACTTTTCTGTTAAACACAGTTCCCTTTCTCAGCCTTTCTGGCAGGTCTTTCCCTGGTCGGCCCGTCAGCCCGTTTCAGTATTTCTATCCACGACGCTTTCATTGATTTTCCCTATTTTTCCTCTCCATAGCTTAGTACAATCCCATCTTCTTGTACATCACGATGTGCAAATGTGGGAAACACTACATCCCACATTCCGGGTAGTTTGAATTTTGAAGTCTTTATACACTATGGCATTCTTGGCCTTTTCCTGTGGATGGAGACGATGAGAATCAATTTGTCTCTCACCACCACTTCCAAAATATCTCCAGCCATGCCAAGAGAGGTATCCAGTGGCACATGAAAGCCCATGGAGAGATTACCTCTTCAGCTTCGCCAAGGGTTTATTGCTGAGCTATTGAAATGCCCCTTGCATATTCCTCGATCCGCCTCTCTGACGGAAACAAGAGGTCCTCATGCGGACTTCCCACTTCAGAGTTCGTTCCTTGGTGGTCAGTGATTCCTATACAGAAGTCTGCATTTTGACTTCCACAAACTCACGGAGTCCTTGCGGTAGCCCAAGGCTGGGCTGATGCCTTTATACCCATTTTATTGACACTGAAAC